CCCCAAAACCCCAAAACCCCAAAACCCCTGGGATTTTTAATATTATTGAAAATTTTAGGCTGGGACTAGGATAGAGAGTAAGTGAGGTGTGGGTTAGTCTGAGAGAACAATCTGGATCTGCTTAGCCATTTTCTTCTTATTAAAATCCTTACTCTTCTTCACAGACTTCTTCATACTAAAAATGATTTTCTTAAATTCTTTATGTTTCCTTCAAGATATAGTCGTTGATTGTAAATTTGTAGAGGTTATAGAGGAGATTGTACTAGAGATTAGGTGGGAAATACGTTTTCATTGAGAGTTTGGACGTGCTGTTTGGTCGGGTATTTTTGGACCTAGGGGTGAGGGAGGGAGTACTTGTGGACGGAAGCGCAAAGAGCAGGGGATTTAGCGAAGGATTTTCTTTTGGAATTTAGTTTATAGCTTCTTTCAGTCTTGAAATTAGATGCTGAGCTTTCTCTTCCGTATAGACTATATCTGGATTTGTAGTTAGATCTGCTGGAAAGCCTCCGTTTGGGGCATGGACTTTCACATCTTAGAGGGAGCTTTTGAGGAAGAGCTGGGTATTTAATCCTCTTTTTAGGCATTAAGCTGTCTAAATCTTCGATTACTGAATTACTTTTCTTTGTAAAAATTTTATTTTGAAGCACTTTCATTTGTTATTAATGGAATGCTCAAAACGCTAAGAACAGGGGATTCATTAGCAACATAGTCAAATCATAGATTCGTAGGCTTCTTCATTTTGGTAGGGTGAGAGTCTAAACTTTCCTTAATAGTACTCTTATCCTTCTTTATCTTTTTCCGAACTGAACTTTGGGCTGATCTCTCATCAATATTTGCGTTGAATTCAAAGACAGAATGATATTTCGATAACTTTGGCTTTCTAAACTTCCCGAACGATTTTAAGGAATAGGACGCAGAAAGATATTTTTTAAAGCCCTTGTCTTTATTTTGCACTCTCTTCTTAAACTTATTTTCTTTTATTTTTATGAGCTTTATTTCTTTTTCTGTTTTTCGATGCTATATGTGGACTTTAATATAATGGAGAAACATGATGTCCAAATTATCTCCTCAACCATCAACACATTTCAGTTAGTCTTTCTAGAATTTTAAGAAGGATTGAATATAAACTTAAGTATGCTAAAAGATGTGTTCCACTTCTTTTTGAGAGTCTTATGGCAGCTTTGGAGAATGCAAGTTTTACCTTAATCGGTTTCTGTGCTTTGTTGACTTTGTTTTCTGTTCTTTACTGTCACTAAATCCAAACATTGTATAATAGTTCTTGTCTAATTTGATTTCACTCTTTTTATCCTGCTGAAATTCCTGATATTCTGTTCACATTTTGAGATTCATGCGGATTTCCTCCATGGCTTCGTCTAAACCAGGTTATGCTGTTTTAGCTGAAAATATATTATAAAAGGAGGAAAGTACGGATTTATAGAATGGTGCATTATCTAGGTGATTATCCCTACCTTTGTAGCCCTGGATGTAATCTTCCCTCACCTTTTCACTGAGAGTGGATGAACCAAGGTTTCCATCACTGGAACTTTCTATAAATTCCTTCTTCTCCATATTATTTCAAATAATGTAATAAGGATTGGGGTTTTGGGGTTTTGGGGTTTTGGGGTTTTGGGG